GGAAATCGTTCAGTTGTCGTCCGGTCCAGGAACTTACCGTCGGAGAGGCGCCATGCACGTCTCCTCTCATAAGCACGCAAGGAGCCAGTTACTCCCCGATAAGACTGGCGGGAAAAGGACTAGACCATCGTCTTGCAGGACGACTGGACCGACTCTCCTTCTTTTTCCTCACGAGTGGTTGGGAGTGATTACGCGCCCAAGGTTGTTCAAATTTCACTTCCGACAGCCGGGACTATTGGAATAGTTTTAGATACCGGAGTTTCAATTTCCGGACAACCCAGAACGGAAACGTCGACTGTCCGGAAATCCTCCAACCGCACGAGAAAATACCACTCGTCTACCGCGACTGCCCGGCACCTTCCGGTCTCGGCGGTTCTCGGACCAACCGTAAAAGGACCTTCCGACCTCCGTCCTGCACCGACCGTATCCGTCCGAGTCCGACCGCGACGGTCGACGTCTCCATTCAGCACCAGGTCACAGGGAACACACGGGCCATTGAGGTCCAGCTCTTTCAAGCCTTTCATCAGGGACAGGTAGGCCTCTTCATTTTTATTTTTGGTGGACTGGTAGGACATGAGAAGGATCTGAAGGTTGAGTGAAGAGGGAAAAAGAGCAGAAAAACAGTTCCACTTAGATGTATGTTGTGTCTATTGGTTGTCCTGCTTGAAAAGTGGAGAGAGAGAGAGATGACAATAAAAACTGTTCTACTTATGGCTAATGTGTTATACTTTTATAAAAAATCTAATTCCAACAACAAAATGTCAATCTTTACTGTGCCATCAAAGCCCAGGAGTTACACATCTTCATTACAACCAAAAACATCCTAAAAATAACAACTGTTATATATATATTTTTACCTGAAAGTCAAGTTGTCTTTCGTCTTGGATTATTAGATGGTTTTCCAAACAGGCAATTCACAGACGACACTATCTGACTGATAGAAGACTGAAAATAAGTAAGAGTAAGAACAGGACTGAGCATAAGGGGAATTGACAATAGGAGGGACTTCAGTGACCACAACCCACGTACAGGCTGTCACACACCTGTCTGTCAAGATTCTCAGTGTGTTAATGCTTCACCTTTTAGAGATGTTAATTTGGACAGAGATTCCCCCATGAAGTAACCTGTTTAAGAAACCTGCTCATCCTGTCTGTGAACATCTATATTTGTGGATGTTAAGAGGGCAGGACATAAAACTGGAAGTAACTATCCTTCCCTAACATTTCACTCTTACTGCACAACCAAATCATCTACAAAAAGTTGATGAATCCAGATGTTTGTCCTTTGGGTTTTTGCTATATTGAGTGTTTGCTAATGTCTTCTTCCATCAGATGTGCAGAGGTGGGAGTACTCAGAACTTGTACTTGAAGATAGAAGTACCATAGTGTGATCAGTTACAAGTAACATTTCTGCATTCAAAAGGTTGCTTGAGTAAAAGTACATAAGTATTAGCATACAAATATAAAAAAGCAACTCATTATGCAAATTGGTCAATTTCAGAATAATATATGATATGTTTTGATTTTAAATATTGATGCATTAATCATGTGTTTATCACAGCTGGTAAAGGTGAAACTAGTTTTAATTAATTTGTATTCTGCAGGGTAGTTTAAAATAATGTTTAAATAAAAAAAAACCTTTAACTTAGCTAAACATTATCCAACTAAGGAGGAAAGGGAGTATCACTTTATTTAAATATTTGTCATACTTAATACAGGACTCTTGGTTATCTTTGTTTTTTACATTTCGTCTAATAAAGTGGTAAGGGGAAATATTCAAACATTTGAAATGTATTGTTAGGCAGCTAATTACATGACTTGAATTAATTCAAAAGAGCCTGTTGTGATTGTAGTCAATTATCAATAAAATACAGAAGGCAATGGAACTTCAATTCATGTTTAAATTTTGTATTGAATATGTATTAGTAAAGAAACCCCATGCCCACACCCACTACCCACCCCTAAATACCTAGGTGTAATATTTAATCTTAAAATCTGTTTATTACATATATATGTAGCCAACAGTAATATAACCACACACACTGTATCTGTTTATAATATCCTTATACTGTCTATAGTATAGACAGTATAAACGGTATTGACAGTATAGCGATAGTATGGTATACCATACTATCACTATACTGTCAATACCGTTTATACTGTACATACTTCATCTGTTTATAGCCTATTTATAATTATTCATTAATGTATTCATATCATGTAGACCAGGGGTCTCAAACTCAAATACACAGTGGGCCAAAATAAAAAAATCGGTACTAGTCGAGGGCCGGACTGGTTCAATGTTTATTGAATGAACTTATTGCACATATTAAACCTGGAACAAACAAAGCTTAAATTATTGCCTATAAAAACAACATTAAACATGAAATAATCAGTTGATTTCATTTCTTATGGCTCTATCTGCAGTTTTTCCGGAGTCATTTCTTATGATTATATTTTTCCACAGGCCAACAACAGCTTCAAAAAAACTCAGTGTGCTGCTCTGTGATGCTAGTTCAAGCCAGATACTTGGCATCTTGGGTGAAAGTTCATCAATGTTTGGGTTCAGGCTCTGAGCGGAGGAAACCCTCAGGATGGAGTGAAGGTGTGTGTGCAATATACCGGCGGGCCAGATCTAATAGTAATTAGAAATTATCCTGCAGGCCGGAATTAAATCCACTAAGGGCCTGATTTGGCCCCCGGGCCTTGAGTTTGACACATGTGGTGTAGACACTTGCACTGCTATTTTGCACTTCTGGTCAGATGCCAAACTCCGTTTCGTTACTAGTACCTGTACTATGTAATGACAATAAAGTTGAATCTGAATCTGATTAATAAAAGATCCCATGAGCATAAGAGTTTATTTAGGCTACCGAATGCTCCACTTTTTTAAAGAATTGTATACGCAAGAACAGATTTGTACAAAAAGGTTGACCCAGCTTGTATTATGAATCAATTTGCCATCATATTGATTTGCATAACAAAAAAATGTATGTTGACAAGTCCCAATAGCAATTATCTTGTTGCATGCAAACAATTAAGATGACAATTGCCAGACTTGTTTGTTTTGTGTCATTTAATTGTATTTTTGTTGATGGTGAGAGATATGATTTGAATTTACTGTCCCCTAGAGGCCGACTTGAAGAATTGAAGAAGTGAACATTGTTTTACATTTTACAACCATGCTTAACCTATTTTAAAATCTTCTTATCAGGCCTTTTTCACCCAAATAATTGAAAAGTTCATTTCTGGTAGCTGTCAACCCCTCGCCTTCGGTTCCACTGAGCTTCTCTGTTTCATACATCGCAATATGATATGCTCCACATTTTTTTCGCAGTTCTTACACTCTTGACTGTCTATTTTTACCTTACGGACATAGTGCCAGTTAATCCTTTGCCAATCCATCCTAATGTGAGTGGTTTGCATTTGAATGGGTAGACTACCTATGTACCCGCTATAATTTTGGACCAATCAGGAGGCACGCACGACGTTTGCGAAAGAACTCTATGACGTAATACGTTGATGTTATGACTTGTGTATTGCGGAAATGAGGTGATAAGCCAAATGTTGCTCATGAATTTCACGAGGAACGGATGAAAGACGGTTTCAGTGGAAAGGTAGGATAAAGATTTATGATCGTGATTGATTGATTCTGATTTGACCTGTGTTATTTCACTAAAGAACAGCTATATTAAGAGTGAGCCTCGGGACATTAGCTGACTTACTATGACAACAACAATGCCTCGGTTGAAATTGGAATACCAGTCCAAGTTCTGACTTTTATTCTGTTGTTCTACTGATGTATTTATTTTATCATAGCTGTAATGTTACTATCATAGTCCCAGTCTTTTAAATGACTAACCCAGCTAGCTGTGCGATTAGCATACATGGCTTAATAGAAACTAAATAATCAGCAACATTGAGAGCTAGCTTTAGCCTACCAGACCGCAGGTGGTTCAGCACATCCACATGCAACTCAAAAAGAGGCGGAATTTCAAATAATATATTGTCACTCTTTTAAAAATAATCTGTTGCTAACACTTCCCTTTAACGTTACGTGTACATGATATGCACATATATGCTTTATAATGTGGTCAGAGCAGCTGGCTGATGTTCGGTGTTTTGCACGAGGACAATCAGACAACTTGGGCGTTTGATCTGATGGGTCTTTATTTCTTATACAAGAATAATTATTTGACTGACAACGTATGGGATTAGTGTAACACAACAGGTGTCTGGAGGACAAATAATTATTGTGTCCATGTATAAACCGTCGTGTTACTGGGAGTGCAAATTACCCGCACCTCCCTAACAGGTTAATCTAGACGCAATTATAGTTTTTTGTTCGTTTTTTTTGGCTGATCACTGATTATAACTGCAGTTTACTTCATGTCCATGCCTGCATTTGCCACCTGTCCATGTCAAAACAAGTATACATGTTTCACTTCAATGCAGAGGCATTTTCCTCTAATTATTTAAATTGTCTAAATGAACAAGGCTAATAGATTAGCATTAATCTGTGAAAGCCTCTTCACAGTAGCATGCGTAGGAACACTGATGTAACCACAGTGTTAATCGAATGTGGTGCAGCCGCAGCTCTTTGAACTGGCGTCCAGTTAGTGTGATGCTGTGAATTTAATAAGTGGCCTCTGAATGCAGCACACAGACGATAAGCAACCAGCCACACATTCCCATCTGGCCTCAAAACTAACAAGAGACCTTCTTCACCCTCGTCTGTCTTTGTCTCCTTTCCAGGTTGCTGTTCAGCTGATGAGGGCTTGCCTGTTCAGCCCTGTGTGTCACCCTCCGTTGCCATGGCAACACCGTATTATCCCACATTCCTGGTCCTTCTTTTTGTTACCTCCATCACTCTCTTACTTCTGACTCTCCTGCCCTCTGTTTCCCCATCTACCTCCTCTCCCCCCTCCTCTCCCCCCTCTCCTTGGCCCTCACCCTCCTGCGGCCTGGGTCAGTCCTGGGCCGTCCGGCTACACTCTGACCCAGATCATGAGGAAGAAGACGGTGAACTGAGCTCTGTGAACCTGGATGTGATAGCAAACAGGGTACGCTACAGCTCATAAACATTTACAGCCAACACTTTAGTCTTTTCTATATAGTGTTTCTGTGAATTCTCCCAAAAGTCAGGGATGATTAAAAACAGGGGTTTTGCTTTATGCTGAGTCCTCCCCATCTGTATCCTGTTTTCTGCAACAAACCCATTTATCTGCAGGGAATACTGAAGTTTGGTTAGGGAAAAACAAGGTGCTCGCTTTTAGAAATATTGTCCTAGTTTAATTTATCATCTCTGCATCCCAGGTAGCAGAGCAGGCTGGGCTGAAGAACCAGGGCCAGGTTGGACAGCTGAAAGGCCACTACCTGCTGTGTTCTGAAAAGCCTGGATCTGTAGCTAGTGTTTGGAGCAGGAGTGTCCGGCCTGGGGACATCCTGGCAGCCCACCCTCATGTCCTGTGGTACTCTCAGGAGCGAGTGCTGAGCCGCTCGAAGAGATCAATGGCCTTCAACGACCCCAACTACCCTAAACAGTGGCATCTGGTAAGAATCTAGGCTATTATTGTTCTTTGTAACAGTCTAGCTAACTGGTATTTATCTATACACACAATGAAAATGATGTCCGCTGAAAGTGAAGTCACACTAGATGATATCAATTTGTCTCATGTCTGCATGTAATATTTGACTAAGTTGTAACTTTTTGAACAATAAGTCTCTTTTGTAACTCCTCAATCAGTATACAAAGTACTAAGTGAAGAGTGCAGGGACAGTACATCCTGTTGCACCTTCTATTACATTTCTTAACATACAGCATCCTGTATGTATAAAGGGCTAGGTAAGGTGGAAATATACACATGAGAGTTCACGTTACTGATCATTATCCAGGGTGATTTTATTCATTTTTCTTTTTCAACCATAAAGGTACTTTTGAGGTACAGAATCTCCTTCTCCATGGAGTCATAGTCAAGATAGGAACCATAACAAAAAAAACATCAGACAACCGAAATATTTTAAGGAAATGAAAATACTCTGTTGTGATGCTTATGCTTATCTTTGCACCACCGCAAAGTAGACACGGGAAATACCTGTACTTATTGGAATTCATTCCTTCACTGTTTGCCGTCTTCTTGTTTCCCTTATTTGTTTTGGCAGCACAATTTCAGAAGTAAAGGCATGGATGTCAACGTGACAGGGGTGTGGGAGCGTAACATCACTGGCCAAGGAGTCACAGTGGTGGTGGTAGATGACGGGGTGGAGCACACCCACCAGGATATCCAGTCTAACTATGTAAGTGGAAACAAAAGGTTATTCCACACTATGAACAATGGACCGCAAATATTTAATGTTAAATCTAAGTGAGCTGTGTGTCCTGCTGTCATGGCTGAATATGAAGCAATTTGAATGTTTGGAAGCATGACTGCAAGTGTCCTTTTTACCTCATGGTTACTTAAAGCAGAGCAGTACAGAGAATACATTTAATCTAAACTAAATTCAATTATATTTCCTATTATAGTTCAGTGATTAACACAAATAATGTGTTGTGAGAGTTTCTCATTGTAGTAGCAGTTTTTTTCTAACTGTGTCTACTGCACCAAGTCTGAATTGAATTGCAACCTTATCATTGCTGTGCAAACCAGACATTCAATAACAACTTCTCTACCCTCTTAGAGTCCTGAGGGCAGTTATGACTTGAATTCCGATGACCCCGACCCCATGCCTCACCCAGACCCCCACAGCGACAACCACCACGGGACGCGATGTGCCGGAGAGATCGCAGCCGTTCCCAACAACAGTTTCTGTGCTGTGGGGGTGGCCTACGGCAGCAAGGTGGCAGGTAAAGACTTTTTGGAATATTAAACTTGGTCTTCCTAATGTAAATAACCCAAGAAAGTGACAGAAGCTAAAACGTTGGGTTAGCAATTGCGTGGTAAAACATGTCTCCCTTGTTGTTTTTGTTCAGGAATCAGAGTCCTGGACGGCCCACTGACAGACAGCCTGGAGGCCATAGCCTTCAACAAGCACTACCAGATCAACGATATTTACAGCTGCAGGTAACAAACACCTCTCTTTTGAATCCCTGGTATTTATTTAACTAGGCAAGTTGCTTTTCTAACAGTAAACATTTAACAGTAAAATATCAGGAAAAATATCACATATGTTCATTTGCCACTTATTCAACAAAGCTCTTAAAGCCTTTGTTTGCTCTTAATTTGAGGTCTGTTATATTTAAGTGCTATCTTTTACTATGCCATATTACATTATGAGGCAAATCTTGCTTGGAATCTGATTGTGGCTCAATTCTCCTCTAGTTGGGGTCCAGATGATGATGGACACACTGTGGATGGACCCCATCCCCTGGGCAAGGTAAGAAAAAGGACGATTGTGTGGATGTTGTCCTGCAGGAGGCAGTGCACTGCAACTGATCGTTTACAGCAGTAGAGTAGCCATGTAGAAAAACTCCAAAGTACAAACTTCCCTCTTCTTATCACAGCATGACCATTGTTTTCATCCTCAGGCGGCGCTGCAGCACGGGGTGATTGCAGGCAGACAAGGCTTCGGCAGCATCTTTGTGGTTGCTAGTGGCAACGGAGGTCAATACAACGACAACTGCAACTATGACGGCTACGCCAACTCCATCTACACCATCACTATCGGTAAGACGCAGAGGACGCTAAAGTGTGTATGTGTTTTGGATGTGGATATTTGGGCATCGGGCCATCAATAATTATTTTGTGTGTTTGTATTTTGTAGGTGCGGTTGATGAGCAAGGAAAAAAGCCCTTCTACGCTGAAGAGTGTGCATCCATGCTGGCTGTCACATTCAGCAGCGGGGGAAACAAGCTGAGGAGCATTGTAGGTCACACACACACGCACGCACGCACGCACGCACGCACGCACGCACGCACGCACGCACGCACGCACGCACGCACACACACACACAGTCTGGCTTAAGAATCAACAGGGATGCAGGAAATCAATGAAGTAGGTGTCATGAAGTGATTTTTGGAGTTGGTCTAATCCAGGTTAATAAGGGTGTTTTCTGTTCGAATTCAACTTGAACAACTATACAAGGTTAACAACTATAAAATGCATTTACTTTATCCAAGTTGGACAGAGTATACATTTATGTGAAATCTGGTGACCATGTTAATATATCGTTAAACAGAGGTTTGGTTGACCTAATATCTCAGGTTAGCATTTCCTTAAATGTTAAAAGTCTTTCTATTCATGACATTTTATTCCAAGTTAACAAATAGTTACTTCTCTAACATATAATTACTTCTCTATGTGCTTCTGTGACACCTGAGAAGATAAATGAACGTACACAGTAAAGTGCTGCTGTCAGTCACAGGAGTTTCATTTCCTCATATTAGTTTATGTAGAGAGTCACAGTGAAACGGCAACTTCCAGCTTCTCGTTCAAAAACCCTCCGACATTTGTAACAAAGCTAATGACTTAAAATACTATACTATATTTTGTTTATAATTTCCCTTTGTAAAAAACTTGAACCCAGCGGTTCACTGGTTTTTATGAGTGTTATGACAAGTAACTTCCTCAAAGTCCATTATCATTTTTCCTATTTTAACAATGGAGCAATTGGTTGTATTTTTTCCATGAAGTCCGCAACATGACATGTACCCAGTTCAGTGTGGTCTGCAAACCTTCATTTTATTGATTGTGACAAATGTTTAAAAAGTCATGAGCAGCACCACATCAGGAAGACAAGATGCTATTTTTATCTGAAGCGATGACGAGGGATGATGGCTGGAGTAAAGGCCGGTCGAAGCCACTTATTTTCTGTTTGTGAGTGTTACCATCGCAACACAGTTTTGCCCTGGGTTGTCATTGCCTGGAAGAGAAGAGCTTAGCCAGGATGGGCTCTCTCACGAGAAATCTGATCAATCAATGACCGCCAAGTGCTTACCACACTCTACCCACTAGTGTATTCATCTTAAGAAGCCATTTAGAGTCCAACAAGAACAGCTGCCTTCATGAATGAGCTTTATGTCAGTCTGTAAAGTCTGGGATTGTCATAAAATAGGAGTTTTCCATCCATGATCGGTATTGGAAATTGTCCTGATGGCAGCTTGTGCATTTTATTTTCAAAAAGGTTCCTGTCAGATTGATGCTGATCCATTGATGTTATTCTAGAGACTAATCCAGCAATCATCCTTGATTATGCTAGCGCTAAGAAAGAAAAACAAGGGATAACATATAATACATTAACAGAGAGAGATTTTAGTTTTTTTAGACACCCTGTAAATCAAGTTAAAGCCTCATGGGGATTACAATCTTGTTTCAAGAGTAATGGATTCACTAATTCAATATAAGGTCACATTTGGGAATTAAGAAAACAACGTCTAGCCTCCAGAGGCATTACATTACATTACATTACATTACATTACATTACATTGCATTTAGCTGACGCTTTTATCCAAAGCGACTTACAATAAGTGCATTCGACCAGGAAGATACAACCTTTAAGAAAACAGAATCATATAAGTACATCAGGTTTCATAGAGCCNACAGCTGTTGGGAAAGGGCCACACGTCTCCTCATGTAAACACAGAAGGCTGAGAATTCTTCAACCTCACATCGCTACGGTCCTAATGTGTGTACCAGAGGGTTGTGTACATAGAGGACAGTGTACATGGAAGACATATGAGATGTCTATGGTCATGTACACCTTGCATATTGGTGGATATTACTGTCTACTAGATGCCCCACACATTGAGTCAAACCTGTAATCTCTTCCATTAATCCTTCCTCTCCTACCTTTGTTCAGTTCAACCACTATGTAACTCGTTTTTATTAGAGGTAGACCAAATACACCGGGTTGTTTAATGCCATTTCAAGATTAAATAATTAAGTTGTCTCTCAGAAACTGTCTTTAGTGCACTGAAACTTAATGACCTAGTGTAGACATAGATTTAGTTATTACATTATTTAAAAAAAAATGCAGACAGAAACAGTTTTTAATGAATAAATAAACGATCATTTAAGTTGATGTTATTTCTCAATTGTTAGTATTTATTAAAAGGTTGTTACTTATCTGATGCAAAAAAGACATGATATATATATCAGCCACCTTTTTTATTTTTTTATTTTTTAATAACAGCATTTGCCATTGAAAAAACCATAACAGTCGACCACTAATAGTCCCTGTACTGCTCTTCATTTGTACATCAATGTGTTTCTTTCCCTTTACATCCTTTCATCTCTTTAAAGGCTAGACCTCCCTAGGGCTTAAACCCCTCTCACACATGTTTTCCATGAACTGTACACAGACAGTGTTGACCTCTGGCCTCCTGCAGTAAATATACCGTTTTGTTAGGAGGGCTCTTTATGGCCCTGGCGCCTGATGAAGAGTTATTAGTTGTTAGTTTAGGTTGAGAACCTTTGTGCCTAAGCTTGTGTTGGATGTACCTTTAGGTTTGCATTCAATCAGCGGTTAATGTATACTTACACATGAGAGTGGCAGTTTGTGTAGACTCCTGCCAGAGCTGTTGCCACCCTTGTAGTGTGTTTGTTCTCTGCATAACGCTCCATGGTCGTACTCAGCCCATCCGTCTTTCCACAGGTGACGTCAGACTGGTCCATGCTGCAGGGGACCGGCTGTACGGAGGGCCACACTGGCACGTCTGCTGCGGCCCCCCTGGCGGCAGGAATGGTGGCCCTCATGCTGCAGGTCCGTCCCTGTCTCAGCTGGAGGGACGTGCAGCACATCATCACCTACACCGCCACCATGGTGAGACTCAGGACATGTGTCACTGCATAAGATGTTACTGTATACCCAGCTCGACAATGCAGAAGCTTTCTGCAGGTTTGTTTTTTGCTCAACTCAACTGGGACCCAAACATGCTGCTCAGTGCTGCTATTGGTCAAAAACTGCAGGCCACCTGACCTCAATTAAAAAATAATAATAAAATGAGTATTTCTCTTGGTTTATGTTTTTCCTGAGTCATTGAGTTTCCTGTAAAAGAAGAACATGTGATGATCACTTTTTTCAAACGATAGATTACTTCTTCTTCAGATTGATTGATTGAATTACTTTATTTTCAGGCCAATCCATTTATTGACTGATTGTTTTTCTCACAAATGTTGTGTTTAGTGTGTGATGTGTGTTCTCTATATCTCTATCTGTTCTTACAGTGTGACAACAGTGCAGACTGGAGGACGAACGGAGCTGGTTTCAACCACAGCCACCAGCACGGATTCGGTGTGCTCAATGCGTGGAGACTCGTCAACGCTGCTCAGGTATATAAGGACACACATCACCAGCTATTTTAGATTGGTTACTCAGCCATGGATCAATAATGTGTCCGGTGCTCCCAGAAGAAAAGCTTCCAAGATACTGGATCAAAGGAAAGGGGAATGTTCTTGTCGGTTGATCGTTTGAGTACCATGGTCTTTATGAAGACATAGACTTCACAAAGCATATTTATTTAGTTTTCTCTGTGTATAGGCTTCCTTGTTTTCCCTTATTTCTATCTTGAATCTTAGCCTCTACAATAAAGGCTCTTCAATATCTCCTTCCTTGTTGTTACTTGCTCTTATATATTTTGGAGTGCCTGCATTGCATTCCTGTTTACCATGATGTTAAAATTCCTTCCACACGTTGTCTCTCTTCTCTGTCTCAGGTATGGGAGTCAGTGCCGTTTCTTGTGTCCTATCAGAGCTCAGTAATAAAAGAAGAGCAGCGCATCCCAGCTTATCCCGGCGAGATGATCCTCACCTGGAAAGGTAACCCACCACTCCTCTCTCCCTCCCTCCCTCTCTCCCTCGCTCCCCCGCCTGGTATTGGACAGCTGCCTGTTGAGTTTACACACTGCACCACAGCTGACTCCCTCCCTCCCTCCCTGCTCCTCACTCAGTCTGCCTCTCCTTATAAGGCAATGTTCTCTTGTTTGTTAGTTTCTGTGTCAACATTGAAATACTAGATGAGGTTTTTTCCAGATTCTTCCTTTAAAAAAAAACATCATCTGTCACTGTATTTTACAACTCTCCTCAGTTCCTTTTTGCTCTTCTCTTGCTCTGATTCTGTTATATTCCACTGTCTGTGTATGTGTTCTGTCTCTAACTTCCTCACACACTTTTTCACACATGGTGACCTCATTCTAGCAAAAGCCTTTTCCTCTACCTCGTCCGTTTTCCTCTCCTCACTCGATCTGTGTGTGTGTGTGTGTGTGTGTGTGTGTGTGTGTGTGTGTGTGTGTGTGTGTGTGTGTGTGTGTGTGTGTGTGTGTGTGTGTGTGTGTGTGTGTGTGTGTGTGTGCTACTGCAACAGGACTTTCTTAAAGACAAATTAGAGTTGCTGACAGTTGCAGAACGGACTCAAAAAATTTGTCTGGACTTAATTTAAAAAAGAAATGTCATCAAATCAAACTACTATAATAAACGTTTTTCCATTCGACCTCCTATTCAATCAGTCTTGGTCAAATCTCTGGCAGGCTGTTTGCCAGAGTTCAGCCTTCCTGTCATACTGCACTCAGCAGTGTTTGTTGTTGTAGTGCCTCTGAAGCCTTTCAAACTGCTGGACTTCCATGTGAACACAGTCGCTACAAATGTGTGTTGTTGTGTGCATGTTTGCCCGTAGCGACTGGCTTTATCCTAATCATGAAACCAGTCGAATCCACAGTATTGGATTGGATTACTGTGGAATGCCTTTAGCTGACGTATAAAATGATTCAGCAGTTGAACTGTGCGCTCCGCTCATAGATAATCTTGACAGCAAATATTGAGTTTATTATCAAACAAAGAGAAAGAATGGGATGGAATTTGTTCTGAAAATGAGAAAAACAGAGGACACAGTGTACCTCAGGGAGCACTACATTTCTCCTTTCTTGTCAAGAAAGTATGCTCAGAGCTTATAGTCACTTATAGATTTTATTAAAGCGGCCTGTCCTTCATAACAAATATTAATAATAGGCGCTGCTATTGCTCATGAAGCATTCATTCATTCCAAGCCGCTGCGTTCAACATGTCAAAGCTCCCTTGGGAAAGGTGCTGAACCACAAATGGCATGGCAAATGATTTGTGAGCGTGCATTTCTATTGATCCTTATGAGCAGGGGGCTTCTTGTTTGGCAGCCTCTTCCTCTCTATGAATGTGAATACTGTAGTGGTTGTAAAGACTAGAAAAAGGATAATATAAATGCACTCCATTAAAGTAATTGCCTTGTTGATTCAAGCAGTGAACATCTAGTTGGCTATGAGACCCCCAGGCTTCAACATGCCATGCCTTTTATCCAACTCTAACTTCAAATCATTAGCAGCAGTAGAAGAACAAATATTTGCTCAATCCCTGCCCTCTTTTTTTCTTTGTTTGCCCCTCCACTTTACTCATTTCCCATCCACTGTACTCGCCCTCTCAGTGCCTCTCCTCCACTGGTCTCCATCTCCTGACCGTCCCTCCCCTCCCTCTTTCTCTACATCTGTCCCCTGACTCTCTGTCTTTCATTCCACACCTCTGCTGTTTACACTGCTCACCCTGCTGCCCCCCCCCGCCCCGAGGACGCGTGCAGCCCTACATGGTCAGAGAGCAACACGGCTCATTAGCAGTCAGAGCCCGGGAAATACCAGACACTTACTTACAGGGGCAGGGCGGGGGGTGGTGAGGACCACTGACAGATATTTTTAAGAACAGAATGTAAAGAATAAACATCAAGAGTCTGATGCCAATTTGCCACTTTTTTACCCAGAATGCAACAATGTTCAAACTGATTTATTTTGAGGAGATCATCCTCTAATATCAGTTAATCCATCCATCCATTTTCTGATTCTTATCTTGGATAATTGGAAAACAGAATAAATTGCAATCTGTGTGCCATTAAAAAGTTCTCTAAAACAGGGTGATTGTTTCTAAAGATTTTAAATATTATGTTAAAATAATATTGAAGAGTAAAATGTACTCCCTCTCTCTCAGTCTCTGCTGCTGACCTGAAACACTCTGGAATGAAGACACTGGAACACGTGGCCGTTACCGTGACGTTAACCAACCCTTGCCGTGGCAACGTGGAAATCGTGTTGGTCTGCCCCAGCAATATGACGTCAGTCATCGGGGCACGCCGCGCAATCGACAGGTACAAACCCACACATTGATATCATTTGAGAACATTAAAACTTCACTTGTTCAAAAGCTAAGAGAAATCTATGTCTTATTTTAAAGGGGACCTATCATGCAAAATGCACTTTTTGATGTCTTTTATACATGAATATGTGTCCCCGCCCGGTGTGTATTTTGAGCAAAACACTTCATAGACATGTTTTAGGGCTGTACCCGAATATCCGAATATTCGTCCGTTGGAGTACTATTCAGGTTTCAATTTCGTTATTCGGATATTCGTTTTTTTATTTTTTATTTATTGAAATCTCCAATATCAACGTAAGAGCTTGTGCCTCTTCCGGGGGTGCTAACACTTAAGCATACACGTTATCGTTTACTTTCTCCGTCTTTATATGTAGATATTACTTTTTCACGTTGTATCCATAGCAACAACAACTTCCTGTCAACTACGCTAACTCTCCTTCAAAATAAAAGCATGTCCATACAAAATAGAAAGCCAAGCCAAATTACACTTAAGACATATACAACTGCAACGAAAGTAACAAACACAATGCAATATCCTTTTCAATTTCAAAGAACACAAATTGGGTTGTATTCATTAACAAATAGCTATAAAACAACAATACTCTAGAATAACAAAAAGAATACCGTGAATAAACCAAAATACACGTGTCGAAGCGGTTCGCTGCTGATTACTACGCGCGCGGAACGAATATTCGAATATTCGCTGCTGATTACTACCGAATATCCGGAGCCCGAAAAATGGTATTCGGGGCAGCCCTAACATGTTTTTTATATATTTGTATATATCTGAGACCTACAGTATGCTATTGCCTAAAAATAGCATGATAGGTGACCTTTAATAGGAGGATGAGATTTAGGTTTTATAGACACAAAGGGAAATCAGCAATAATCCCACATAACTGTACGTCAGATGTTAAAAGGATAGACTGGATCGTTACAAGGAAGTTTGTATGAGGTGCTCATCCATAGTCAGTGTATTACAATGTATTATACATTGCACAACAAAGGTGTAGCTGGATTTATCGCTGTCTCCTTTTGCTCGTTTGTTTGTGTTATTGTGGATCTTTGGTGAATACAAACTAACCCCTTTAAAACACGTAAAGTCCCACAGCAACACAAACAAAACCCATCGAGGCAGAGGTAGACCAGATACTCAGTCTCATGTAAAGTAAAATTACTGGGGTTTACTTTTTTAAATGAGTGTGACGGCTTCATCGCGAGCATAGCCTTCAGTTCATCACTGGAAAAGGGTTTTTCTGACGGCTCAGGTGTTGAGGTGGAAATATACCTACCTCGTATAACCTCACAAAAATCTGAACTATCCCTTTAAAGTATAATCTAATAAAGTTGTATATTTGTGTTTTTGTACACAGAGACTCTTCAGGCTACCAGGACTGGACCTTCTCTACTGTGCGCTGCTGGGGAGAGGAGGCTGAAGGCCAGTACATCATCAAGATATCTGACCACAGTAAGACACAGTCACACAACTGACATGTCCCCATTTCTGTCATTTTGTTTCATTGTGACCTCATGTACACCCCTGCCCACACTGACCCTTCTCTCTGCTTCTGTAGAGGAGCCATCCGTTGAGAAGTGTGCCTCTGTGGGGTTCTTGAAGCAGTGGCAGTTGACTCTGTATGGTTCCTCTATGACTTTCAGCGAGGTCAAGGAGAGGCAGAGGTAAGAACACGCTGCCATCTGGACATCTTCAGTTTTGTTGAACGCCTGTTTTCCCTGGATTTGTGCTTTGTTTTTTATTCCCATTTGAAATCGTTGTAGCATACTGATTTGATTCAGAGAATTTTAATTTGCAAAATTCAGAAAGATGATTTTTAACATGTGTAACATTTTTTTTTTTTATTGTTCTGTCTTTTTTTTTTAAAGTATTCCAGTAATGTATGTTGCATGTTTTTAATTTGATTGTATTTACTTGTTTAAAATGAAATGAGTTTTAGGTTGACTTATAAAATATGTCCAGGGACTACAGATGAAAAATATCTTCTTGGCTAACTCTGGCACACTCAATGTTAATTAGTGCGCTGTCCCTGTTAAATAAATAAAATACAAATAAATGATCTGCTTGTTGATTGGCTGTTCATTGATTGACAGGCTGGTGGAAGAGGCTATGAGTGGAAAGTTTCTGGACAGCAGCTTCTCTCTGCCCTGCCCTCCAGGCCTGGACATCCCTCCAGAAATCATCAGCCCCTTCACCTCCAACAGCCTCAAGGTAAACCGTTCACTTTTGACCATGTCTCTGTCTTTCTCTTTAATATGTATGTCTTCACAGAATAAAACCAATAGTTCTGATACTGGGAAATTAAAAAATGTTCATACTGACTCACTATGTCAGACATGTCAGGAATACGCCTCATTACATTAAAGGTCAATTCCAGGTTACTATGGAAAACATTATTTATTTTTCCTTTTTTGTGGATATTATTTCAAAGGAGCAGGTCTAGACCTCAGATGTGTATGCTATATAACCATAACCTCTCATTTGAAACCTTATACATCTGTGACATTGGGGGATAGACGCTGGCTGGCCAGAAGTTCTCCCTGCCAGTTACTTTGTGTTAAAAAACAAACAAATAATGCTCACCTTCATTTAGATTTGGATGTGAAATTTGACATTGTGAGAGTAAAAGTGAATTAGGTAAACCCATGCATCTTTGAAGAAGTATTAAAGTGTTTTGCCAACCTTATAGCAAAGATGAAAATCAATCCCATAGACCTTCAGTAATAGATCCCCAGCTAAACCACACCAGAAAGGAATACTTGGGTCACATTCGATCATCCATTTGACTTTCTAGTTCCCTCTTTTGTAACCGTTCTTTCTTTTTATCTTGAACCACCTCCACACATGCATCCTTCAGTGATTTATGTGACCCAGCTTTAGTGATTTACGTTCTCGCTCCGTCTCTCTGCTTGTTTTCCTTTCCAGTTCCTGCTGTTGCTGGGCTGCTTTGCTCTCTTCTGGTCACTCTACTACACACTGGAGGTCACGCTGGCCCACATGGACCTCAGGGGCCTCCTCTGCCTGCGCAAAAGACGGGTCCAGGGCCAACGGGCCAGGGCGGGGCGCCGGGGGAGAGGAGTGGAGGAGGCATTGCCAGAGGAGGAGGAAGTTAAGGTGGAAGAGGAGCAGGACTCCGGGGTGGAGTTGCATGCAGTGTTTGCATCCGAGACCCAAGTGCCGCTTTTAAATGGAGACTGGCCGGCAACATAGCATTGAGCCAAACAATGGGGCCATATCCCGTCTCTCTCTCTTTGCTCATTGGACGTCTCAGGCTCTCACTATCTTCTCCAAACATATTCAGCCTCTAGTCAACTGTATCTGAGGTGCAGATGGAGTTGACTGAGAAGTGGACCTTTTGTCTGTATTCTCCAAACACGTGGCCTTTTATGAAAATCTTACTTTGCGGCAATGTGAGTATGTGTTGGGCAGTGGGTGTTCTTGTGCACCTGTCATAATAACTAAGTAAAAATGAAATAAGGACAATCCTTTTTAAAGTGGGGATATTAAGCCGGTCCTGGGGTTACATTTCCCATCAGGATTAGGTTTGGGTTAGAGTCAGGCATGAACTGGAGAGGGACCTTATATGGTTTAAAGGGACAATTTACTTCCGAGTTAAACGAAACATTTTAAAATCTGAGAAAAGTCTTGATGATTTAAGTAAATCAGGGCCGCCTTTTATTAAAATTGCAAAACTGTATCAGATCATCTGTTTACACACTCTCATACAACGTTTAAGTTCAGTAAGCATACTCCAACCTCGTATTTAACCAGTATAGCTCACTACTTCTCAAACGCAGCCACTTTTTGAGACCTGTGGAAACACTCCGCTGAACAGTCTTCCCCTTGCACAGGCACACTACTCATTGTCCAAGTTGGAAGTGTCTTAAATGCCGCCCCCTTTAATTTTTTCATCAAGACCTTTCGCTCTACCAGAACTCAAGGTAACACAGGGTGAGTAATTGATATAGTATTATGAGGTTGAAGTGTTCCTTTAACGTGTCAGTACAATTGCATGTTTGCATGCGTGAAAGGGTAAATACAGAATGGTCTGTGTACATGTGTTCCCATGGAAGAACTGAGCTAAGATGGGTGGGATTTACTTCTAGTGGGGGTAATCAAACCAAGAGAAAGATGGTTGGTTTCAAAAAAATGTGGTGTGTGTGTGCACTGTGTGTGTGCACTGTGTGTGCACTGTGTGTGTGCACTGTGTGTGTGCACTGTGTGTGCACTGTGTGTATGTTGTGACATGAGCGATTGTGTGTGTGTTCTGTGACATGAGCGGGTGTGTGTGTTATGGTCTTCTCTGGAAAAGTTTCCTCAAATGTGAGGCTCCATGAGATTGCTGAGGAATTTTTTATTTTTTCTGAGGTGTTATTTGATGTGTTTTATTTTAAAGTCTTGGGTTATTATCTGCAGGTTATAACCAACTACTGATAAAAACTTGAAGTGGGATTTTCAAGTGTGGGATTTGTATAGGTATTTTTTTATAAAGTGTAATATATACACAATGTGTGCCTGCTGTACAGATATATATCAAGTGTGTTTAATGATTTATACACATTGTTTTGTAAGAATGTATTAAAGAGTTCTAATTTTATAATGTAAGGAGTGTTTGGAGGGAAACTGGAAGCTGTGTTTTGCTGTGCAAGTCACAGGTGATCTGAATGATAATAAAAGACTTGATGGAAAATCCTCTGAGATTAATGTTTTTAACACAGGGAAAGACGTAGTAACACACTTTTTAGAATCAGTGATACTGATTATGATATAATATGGTTGTTTTTAGACGATTTTGTGTTTAACAAGACTAGTTTAAAATACATATAATGTAACATTTCCAATTTGCAATTCCTAAAGCCACACTGCAAGCATGCCCTATATCTAAAACAAGTTAAAACTAAATTACGTTAAGGCTGTCTATGACCTTTTTAGAACTGTTAAATCCCCAAAGTGGCATAACCTTAAACTACCAGAATCAAAACTTTATTTTTTTCAAAAGTCTGTTTTAAAACTTAGGTAACATATCTGTATTATCAAGAGTTTTTGGTGGCTCTCGTTACTTCTGTCTGTGAAGAGATCTCTTCTTAGCTGAACATTTTGCACAGACACAAGTGGATTTTATTTAGCATTGGCCCAATACGAGCATGTAACTTATATTTTCGGACACACTTTTAATAAATGTAGCTAGGCTTTGAAATAATGGTAGTAAAAGAAAGATCCAGTGAGTGGAGACATGTTTCCTCAATATTCCCATTATGCATCGTTGTCGAATTGAATTACCCAGATTCACAAAGTCAATTCAGAAATGTATTTCAAAGTCATTATTTAATAAGACAATGTACAAAAATATCGGCGCTGATACAGCAGGCGTAGCATTGTGGTAAGTGGTAGGTAGGAACAATTAACAAGTAACAATATTGTAAATTATACCAAGTTAAGGTACGTCGTGGGTTGTGTCGTTATTCAATTTGGTAAGAATATCCCTTATGCAATCTACCTAAATACAGATGATTTCTTTGTGTTGGAATCCAGAACCAATGTTTCTAAAATCTAATAAAATACTAAATAATAATTATTTCCAACATAGTTTTGAGGCTATCGGCGATGACACAGTTGTCAGTTATCTGTTATATCAGTGCTGATTTATATTAGAAAGGAAAAGCCCAATGTTTGGCACATTGTCACTGTTTTGTTTTTACCACCAAGGCAATGCATCGGTCATTTTTCTGGTTACTATTTCCACTTAAGACTGCTAAGGTAGTACTGTTCCTAACTGCAGTGGAAGGACAAAGCATGGTGAACTCTGTGTAAACTAAAGTGTCAAGACCAGGAAGTCGGGGGTATCTGTTAGAAGGAAGCTAAAATCTAAAGCAGAAAGAAATGTAAGGTTAAAGGGGAGTTGTAGTGGACCGGTTAAACTAACAGGCTGTAAGAAGGTGTCAGGGGCTGAGGAGGTTACGGGTATCTGGCTCAGTGATTTTACATGATCTGCCGGGGTCTTCCATAGCTCATGCCTTCCTGACTGGCTCCCTGGTTGGACCCCATCTGTAGGCCAATCACGTTTTTGCCCGCCTTCATCTGGTCATCTGAGAAGTCTCGCTTGTTCTCCTGGGCTTTCCTGCAACACGTCATTGTAAATGTCTCGGAGTTAATACAGCTATACAGCTAATGGTAATTGGTGTTGGTTAGATAATGCATATGACACTCACTTGAAAAACCAGTTAGCCTCTCCTTTGTATGTGCCTTCTTCCTTAGTGATGGCCAAGCTGCCCAGAGCTGACAGAGTCCTCTGCACCGCCGCCAGGTCCTTACCTGTCCACACACACATAATGGATAGGATTAGTAACTCAGCGGGCAAATTATTATCTTTCCTTAAGTGCATTGTTGTATCAAAGTATTGTCTCTTCTTCCATGTCAGGAGAAATTAACACTAAATGAAATGTTGATTCAGCTTCTCACGACGTGTTTGTTTTTTCTTGTTGGCTTCCATGACAAACCCAGGATAAAAAAGACTGAGAAAATTCTCCAAAGGTTCATGTGAATGGGGTGCTCGTTAACGACAGCAAAGCTGAATCAAAACATCTGTTTTAAAACTTCCAAACAACTTGTGAGGTATAATCAAATTCTCATGTGTTCAGTTTTGTGCTCACTAAGTCCAAACACTTGCATGTCTGCCAGATCCCCTGCTACTTAAATCACTTCCAAATAGGCCTATACAGTCTCGCACACGCAGTGTTAACTCGTTTTAAGCACATATGCATGTGTTTGAGAAATATTGATCTTAGGACTGGATAAGTTATTTATTTTGCTGACTGATATTTTTGACAGTTTAATTTAATTGATCGATACTTTTCTCTGTTTCTTGATTCCTTGTTCAATGTGGAAGCATGCAAGTGAAACTAAGTTGTCTTCAATCATTTGAGATAACAAGGGGTGAGTAATTGATATAAAGAAGAATTTGAACCTAAGCCAAGTCTTGTCGTCTGGCATTAAATGTTTTTCATTAACCGAGGAATTAAGACAATGAACCCCCTCTTACCTTCCCAAAGGTCCACGGTCTGGAACATATCAGTCTTGGTGACGCCATACTTCTCGGAAGCGTTGAGGAACTGGGAGATCTGCTCCATCTGTTTGAAGGCTGCGGGTGAGCTCGCAATCTTCCTCACTGGCTTGTCCGCGGTGAACAGAGAGTTAATCAGTTCACTAAGAACCTGAGGAGACCAGATAGAGTGACACAGGGTACAAAAAGAGGTCGATAAACAAGCGAAAGATAGGAAGGAGAGGCATTAAAGACATGAACCATAAGAACAAACAAAAAACATCTAGGAAGCTATTAAACCGTTGTGTTGCACTCACACATCCATCTTTCAGCCAGGTCTGGAAGCCAGTTTTGCCGGCCTCTGGCTTCCCCACCCCGGAGCCACACTGACGGCTGATCCACTCCACCAGGATCTGCTCCAGCTCAGGGTCGTACTTGCTGTCGATCTTATCCTGAACCTGCCGGCTCAGGCCGAAGGATGGACCTTTGTTAGCCATGCCGACTCCCTGAGAGAGCGTGAAAAAGAGGAAAAGGTGGAGGGAGATCGGAGAGCAAGCCAGTGTGGAGGAGATGAAGAGATGAAGTAAAGAAGAGTCAAAGAAAAAAGAAATATTATATCTGGACATAGTATGAAAGTAAGTGTGAGGATCAGCATTTGGATTCACCTCCCATCATGACAACTAACGGCATCATACAGACAGATGTCGTGCACTTACTGTATTTCTGTGCGTCATTGCAGTTTTACTGTCTTTTAGTCCAAAAAGCTTTTGCAATATAAACAATAGCCAGCACTCACATGAAATTGCAATAACATTTGAAGGTAGCCTGTAAGCACAAACATGCACAGATGTGCAAAATAATAATAATAACCCTAACCCACACACAGATATCATTTTATAATGTATTGTATATTATACACTTATACATGACATGCATGTCAAAGCGTGTATTTAAGCATAAATGCCCAGCACCTATTTTAATCACCGCTCCCAGAACGTTTGCATTTACAGCGTTTTGTCTCCTAATACACACCACTTAGCCCATCAGGACCTGTGTCTGAGGCAAAGTGGTGTACAATGGGAGCACTATGTCAGCCAGCTGATTTTGTTTTGCATATATTCTTATTTTTGCCTTCACAAACACACACTCACATACCACGCACACACTCTCTCTAGCTCTCTCTTTGTCTCTGTTAACACAGTAATTATTGCGAGCACTTTTTTTTTGTCTTATGCTTCTGTAAGCCTTTGGCCAAAAGCCAAGTGTAGCAAAGCCCAATGAAAGTGCTGTCTGCACCACCCAACCTTTGTTGCCATCTTGATGTCAGGTCACTTCAACTTGTTCCTGAGGAGGTTAAAGTTCAAATGTTAAAGGTTAAACCCAGGAGCTGACTGGAAAACACTCATCTTGGATGGATAAGAGTGAACCCTTGCTGAGTCTTTTCTGTTGGTGTCAGGATGTTTCCAATCGGCCAAAACAGACTTTTCATTGAGAAAAGTAAAAAAAAATGCCATCTGGGCCAAGACTGGACTGATATAGGAAAAATATATTTAAATTAAGAACTGTTTTCTCATATTGTCCCAACTGAAGAAAAATATGAATCATTGTTTTTGCTCAATGTCTTAATCATGCTGTTTATTCAGCATGCTGATATGTCACATCTGTCAGTATGATGGATTATATTGGCAAAGAAGTGCTCATTAACATGGATTAAAACAGGTTTGAGCAAAACAAGAGAAAGAGAAGAAACCTAAATAGTACTGTAATACTCAAATCGTTTCCTTCGTTAACCTAATTATGTATTATACTACTTTTCTTTCTTCTTTTCCATTTGACTTATTTCTTTCCTCTGTTGCTCGCTAAAATCCCCCCTTTCTTCCTACTCTCCAATTTATTTATTATCCATTCATTTCCACTGACCTACGGCATATGAATCCCTAAATCTTCACAAGTCTTAACGTTTTCTTAGACCTGATGTTTGTCTGCTGAAACAACATGTGAACACAATGTGTACCTTTATATTGATATGCTTGATATAAACTAACACACTTTAATGTTGACAGAGGGGGAGCAACACAATCATTCATTTAAAGATGGGTTTATGTCCACCAGCAGATGTATGTATACTTTTTTCCAAAACTGCAAATAGATATATTGCATGTGAGAGTTTGCA